AGGTACAGCCAGAGGACCCAAGACACTGCTCTTCAGGGAAAAGCAAGACTTTATCACCAAATAGTCATGTGCAGGATGCTCCAGGGTTTTCTTATTCCCTCTGTACTTCTATACAAAACTGTCAATCATTAGTAGGGCTAGAAACTTGGTAGGTTAAACTTTCATGTTAATAAACTAATTGTGAATGAAATATTTAGATGAATAACAAATAATCCTGTAGAAGCTGATGATCTTGGCACTGTCAACTTAAAAAATTCATTGTCTGACAAGCAAAAGAGCAAGAGAGACTATCACCCTCTAGAACTCTCTACCCACTCTACATGGCTAAATATGCCCTCCTGGCAGGAGCGCAACTGGTTTCCCATCTCTGTTATAAGCATCACAGATATGCTTACATCAGATAAGTGAGATTGTGAAGTTCTGGAGGAGCAGCAGGCTAAACAAGGGCAAAGACAGCAAACGTGCCCACCATTTGCCGAGGGCACACAATGAATTTTAAACGTGTCCCTAGAGCAGGATGCCAAAGCTCCCCTCACTACACTCCCTGCAACTGGCTTAACCTTCAGAAATGCTCCCAGCTGGGGCTTTGATGTGCTTGGTTCCTTTGAAAATGAGAAGGGATGCTTAACTGGCAAAAATTAATTAGAATCTTTTATTAATCAGATAACCTGAGCCAAAATATAGATATAACCAAGCTGTATGTATGACTTTTGGACACTTCTGGAAAATAATTTACTTGGATTAAAGATAAATTTCACCAGGAGCAATCTCGCACATCCAGCTCCTACATATTTTCCACCTGAACTCTTCCTATTAGTTGACAAACCTCTTAATCATTTTCCCAAATCTACTGGAAATCAAGGAGGTGTAAAATAAAGACAAAACAATTGCACATCTAATTCAGCATTTTGCTAAAAATTTTATATGTTCCAGAATAAAGCTCGCATAGAAGTCTATCTATATAAAGGTACCATAAAAGTAAAGAGCTTCCTAATCTTTTCACTTGAGCATTCTCCTGAGATGAGCGAATTAATAGCCCTTGTAATTACCAGGGCAGAAAATATAACAGCAGATGTCTATCTTCACTAATTGTCTAAAACTGTTCGAAACCTACAAAATTATTTACCTCACTAAGATTCTTTGCTGTGACTTCCATAAATTAATTATCCATTACACTGAACATGATTAACCCTTCTTGACCCAAGCAGTGAGCAGTAATTGCGGGTCCTAAGGTGGTGATTTGATGTACTCTGCCTTCTCAAAGCCATAGTCTCCATTTTTTGTTCTGACTGTGTCCCAGGCTCCCTATTATTTGTGTTTGATTGTTACCCTTTTTATGCTTGTTTCTCATACCTAGACAACTACACTGTCAAAAAAAAACCAGTACTCAGCCTCTCTTCTTGCCAGTGAAACTTCTTGGCTTGCAAGGTTAATGTTGTCTCATATTTTGCTTTGACCCTGTGACTGGGTGGTGCATTTTTTGTCTCAAGTAGCTGATTCCTCTGAGAAGCTTGGCTGCTTTTCATGGTCTAGCTGAACTGAAAACAATCATCACACCCACCAACATAACCATATCACAGCAGTTCTAGTTGCCTTTTTTGATGGTTTTGACTTCCAGAGCATGTTTATTCTTGTATTAAATAGAAATGGTCTGCTTTCCTTTCCACCATCTACTCTTTTCCTTTCTGAAATTTTTCTTGCACTCTCTTTTCCAAGTATGGAAAGGACCCTTTCCAAGGGTCTCTGTATCTTTTAGACTTCTTTCCCCCAGTGAAATCTCATTAGTGATTTTTACCTATGCTACCTTTGTGACACTTTTAGGTATCGTCTTTCTGAGTTGTGGAAAACTGAATGAACCTACCACTTAAAGAAAGAATATGCTATCCCTATTTAGTCAACTACTATTGTTATTTCTTTTCTCTTCTCTTTATACTGTCTCCTGGACTATTTAGTTTTGGGGGTTTTACTGAAAGTTTAGCTATGACTCCATAATGTAACAGAATACAATAATAAACCATTATTTTGCAACAACCCTCTCACAATCTTTTATCTTCTCCACATCTTCCAGAACTACTACTCACAGCTCAGGTGTTTACTTACTCTTACTGCAGCAGTTTCTTCTCCACACACTTCAGTGCTGGTTGCAAAAGCCAATTCCCAAAATACTGCTATAGCTGCAGCTTCAGGGAGCAAATAACTGAACTGGCTGCATGATGTGTTATCACCCAGTGTGAGCATATATTAGGAAAGTGCTTTTGGGACGTATGACAAACTGATAGGGCTGAATTAGCCATTCCTCCTCTCTGCCACACAGCTATGGCTGCATGACACCAGAACTGTGCAGAATTTACGCAGCCACAGGAGGATATGACTACATGATATGGACCCTCATGATAACCAAATGCTACTATCGTATGTGTGAAACGGGTATTTCAGAAAAACACATTTATGACTTCATTCTCAGAATAATGATGGAGAACACTTAGTGTTTTTACCTTCAGTGAACTATGGATGTTCAATACTGTGGACAAGGTTAACATTATCCATAGAGATAATAAGGAATTCCACATGCATTTGAAAAGAGATATGGCATGGTTCACCTTTCAGTGACCTCATTTTTCTCAGCCTAAGCTGAATTTACAATGTTTCAGTTCATAAAATTAATGCAAGTGATATTTATATCTTGTCTATCCAAGTGTTCCCATATTCAAATATTTGTCAATTATCAGCGATGGCAGTGTGTGTGTGTGTTCCTCCTCTGGAGATACAAAATATTAATGTATGCTCATTACCAGCGTTATTAATGAGACAATGTTTAATATAATGTGTGTGCCAATAAAGTTGACAACCATAATCTAATGATAGCTTCCTTTTATGGGGAAAAAGTGAGATTTAGGAACTCAGCTGAGATGTGGGACCCAGGGGCTCAAGCCCCGGTCTTTTAATTATTGGGCTTTTTTTTTTTTTTTTTTTCAATCCAGCAACTTCAAGGTAGTTAAGGTTTATAAATGAAAAAGGAAGATGGTTGATTTTGAAGACATGTCTAAAAAGAAGCTCCTGTTACTCTAAACAATGCACTATCAAGGCAAGTATTGAAGCTCACATTTTCTAAACAGCAAACCTTGTTTTACCTCATGGGGAGATATTTGTAGCCTCCATATCTTACGAGTTTGTACATCAGCTTTGTTTCTATATGACACCTAATACTGACTGCTTGTGCAGTACTCTGTAAAATCACATCAACTAATCTTTCCAGAGCACAGTTTTCCAGGCTCTGTAGGGTAATTTTATTTTCATGCAACCTTCTATGATTCAGACCAAGACAACTAGCACATGGTGCAATTGAAATATACTTAATAATTGGCTTTACAAAGCACAAACCCACAATCCATGTGGGTGGAAGCTTGCTACAACCCCCACAACCCCCCCAGGTGTGGGGTCAGGACATGCCTACCTTCATTAGTCACAAAATCAGAGCTCGCCTCCAGCACAAAGACCTGGGAGAACCACCTGGGTACCAGGATGGGAAAGAAGAACCCCTCCTCTTTCAAACAGGATTTTTGTTCTGAGATACTACAAGTAACCTGGAATTTGCAGTCATTGCTGTGGGCATTATAAGAGAAGAAAAAGTAACAGGTGTGGCAGCAGCTACAGCACAGCTGGGGCACATGCTGAGGACCTGCTGCTTTTCATGACCTGGTGTTAATTTATTTAACTTGCACTGTACACTTGGTATTTGTTGGCCATAATGCAAGCTGTCCATTTTCATTTATGGTCAGGCAGAACAGGCTACCAATCCCGTCTGGCAGAAATAAAGCACAGAACTTGGACTAATGTTCAAGTCCTGTCCTAAAAATAGGACACAAAAGCCCTCCTTTGAAAGGCAAAGGTCACATAAGAGTACTTTACAGAGTAACGCAAACACAGCATAGAGTCGGTTTCAAAAGAACCAGACAATCCAGAAACCAATGACCAAAGATACCACCCGCAGGAGCCAAAATTCTGGTTCCGACCCCGAGAAATTTTTTAATTACCCCGAGTTTCCTCCTCTTCCGAATTTTCCAGGAGGAGTCCTGGACCTGACCGGAGGGGTGCCCCGACTCCACCGGCTCCCACGCGTTGTCCTAAAGCCCTCCTGCCTCCCTCAGCCACAAACAGGGTGGATCTGACTCAACCCAAACCCGGCTCGGAAAGCACCAGGGGCTCCGCCAAGTTTCATCGCCAGGGCTACTCTGAGCCGCGGCTTGGCGACCTGTGTTCCTGGACCAGACTGCGTCCTAAACTGCGGGGTCTACCAGCCGTCGGCTCCGCCGCACCTCCGCGCAAGTTCCGCGTGCTCGGGAGAGAGCCAGCGCGAGACGACGAACACAAGAGGACGGCCGGGGAAAAGAGTGAGATGGGAGCGGGCGCAAACCATGTCGCAGGGAAAGGCGACCGATAAGAACACCTCATTACCGGTACTAAGAACACCGACCGCAGCGCTCTGCCCCGGTTTCCGCACGTACGGCCCCGCGCACACAGGCAACAGCCCGAGTCCGAGCTTTGCTGAAAGAGAAACTCCCACGGCGGGGAAAACCTTGCTGGAGCGGAGCTGCGGGGCGCAAACGCGCGGGCTGCGGGGGGAAGGAGACGTCTCCGCGGCGGCACGGCTCCGGCAGACGGACGGACTGGCACGTCGGCGGCGATTTCTCTCCCTTCGGCACGTCTCGGTGCTGCCCGTCCCCATGGTTGCTCCCCCCGCCCGCTGCCCCGCGTCTCCCCTGGGGCACTGGCCGCCACCCCGGCGGCAGTGCCGACGCTCCCCGCGCTTCTTAACGGGAAGCTCCGCGAGCTGCGAGAGAGATGATTTTAGAGCGGGCTGTGTGCCTACCCCCCTCCGCCCCCTCCGCACGCAGAGAAGGCGAAGGGAAAAGTTGCTCTCTCCGGCCGCCCACGCCGGCGCTGCCCGCCCTGTGGCGGCGGCAGAACGAGCCCGGTGGCGGCGGGGCCGGTAGCTGTACCTGTGCCGCCGATGCCCTGTCGGGCAGTCTCCAGGGGGAAGATGCCGGCGCACTTCTCCCGCTCCACTTGTCCGCCCAGGCACAGCTCCGAGATGATTTGCAGCGCTTTGTGGCAGAGGCTGCCCACGCCGTCCTCCGCGGGGAAACTCATCTTCTGCCCCGGCAGCCCGCTTTAGGCCATGGCCGGAGCGGGACGGCTCCGCGCCCGACCCGCGCAGCCTTCCGCGGGGAGCGGAGCGGGGCGGAGCGGCGGCCGCGACGGCGCGAGTGAGCCCAAGAAGTAGTGAAGGGGGGAGAGGGGGGAGGCAAAAAGGGGGGAGGGAGAGGGGAAAAAATAAAATGAGGGGGGAAATGAGCATCCACTTAGCAACGCCTTTTGTGCCGGGCGGGCTGCGGTAGGCGGTTCGGCCAATGGCAGCCGGGGAGGGGGGGCTCGGCTCGGGAGGGGGGGGCTCTTTATGCCCCCAGGGAAACTTTTCTTTCCTCGCCTCTCTTCCCGGAGGGACGGCTCCGGTGGAGGTGGCTTCGGGCTGAGCGGGGACGAGTGGCGCGGTGGGGAGTGGACGGGAGGGGAGCGGTGCGCGGGGTTGTGGCCGTGCCGGCGTGCGGAGTCCTGCCCCCTCTCCACGGGAGGGCAGGACCCCCGAGCCCCGCGGAGCAGAGACGGCAGCGGTGCGCTTCCGGACGGGCTTCGTGGCCGCTCACCGCGCCGGAGGACGAAGCAGAGTGCGGTCCCCGCCGCTCCAGATCGCTCTTCTCGGAACGTTATTTCTTAGGTGACCTGGGCAGTGTAATTTTCAGTACGGGCTACCGTCAGTTAACTTCATGAACCTAGTCACCATCTCCACTACACTTTCCAGTAGCAGAGTTACGGGATAGTCGACTTCGGCTGTTTCTTTAACTTATGAGAGAGTTAAGAGTAACCTGACGATTGTTTGGTCTATTTCCCCAACAAGTTCTGTAAAGTTGTGTGGGGTTTTTATTAATAGATTAAAGAGTTCCAGGTACTGCATGTGCTTGAACATCTAAAAATCAGTACAGCATATACTGCTAGTGGTTGTTTCAGTTACTGGCTGTATAGCCGAACAAACCTTCAGCTGTTTATTCATATACTACTGAAATTCGGATACGTTTTTATATTTGTGAAGAAAAATGCTTCTACTTCGATGGCATATGTGTTATCTTGCAATACTTAATTACACATAATTGAAACAAGTCTGCCAGCAGTTTGCTTAACAGCACTGTTTGTAGTCTGCTGCAAGGGTGTCTGGGTTTCATAAGCATGAGAAGTTAACTTGTGTATTGATGGCTTTTTTTTTTTTTTAACCCAGATTTTGACTTTTTTCCTTTTTTATCTGCTACCTGAAAATTAACAGCTATCTCTAATAAACTGCAAAGTTTAACATTTGAAACTGTTATAACCATCAATCAGTAACTGTAAATGATGAAATAATATAAAATGTTTATTCTAGATTATTCTGAGTTAAATTCTGAGATTCTGTACTTCATACAGCTTGCTGTAAGAAACACAGGATGGTACTTCTAAAAATCAGCTTCTTGGCATTTTGAAGTCTCATGCATTTATGCATATGAATTCATACACATGTATTTTTGAAAATCTTATGAAAGTGATAGACTCTGTTGTATACAGTCTTTAACACCAACAGAAATTCTATTCTGTAAAGCTTTTTCACAGATATAGCAGGTATTTCAGAAATATCAACTGCTACTAAAGAAATCATTCCCTGTTCAATGCATTTTCTGAGACTAGCATTGTCAAAATTCTGTGTTATTTCTGCGAAATGTTCTGACAAATCCTAGAATGTTTAGACTATAACTAGTCAGGGCACAGAACTGTGTGGTACTATTTGAAAACTCATTTAACCCCCATAGGGACCTAAATCTGAATAATCATCTCATGAAAATAGGCTTGCAACCAGTAGAAATGTATGTACCTATTTTCCTTACAGCCAAGGCAACTAATGATGCCTACTTCCAAATTTCAAAATATGAACACATTTACTGTTTGTGTCACATTTACACTCTTGTTCCCAAAATTCTGTCATGCATCACCAACTAATAATTAAGCAGTCTGTTTATCTTTGAGACATGTTCAGAACCCTAGCAGAAGCTAACAGGAGGTACATACACAGACTGACAAAGGAAGGGTCTTAAACACAAATTGGTTTTAATGAGAGTGAGGACTGCATTAAAAGGCTAAAACCTAAGTTCTTCTATTTCTGAACCTTTCTACAGACCGTCTTTGTGCCCATGAACGTATCATGCAGTCCATGAGTCAAATTTTTTGTCTCTGAACTTACTAAAAGCTTTGCCGTGAATTATAATAGGGTCAAAGTTTGCTACATTGATCAGTTTATCACCCTGGTTGTTTACTTATATAGTGGGACTTAGGTACATTGTTAAATTGTTCACTTTTGCACACAAGAACTTCATTTCAGTGAAGATCATGCACCTTAACAGGATTACTGTTGATAGCATTTCTAAATACATAGACACAGAAAAGCACAAGCAACTATATTCTACATTAGTTGTTTTTTGTTTTGTTTTGTTTTGTTTTTTTAAAAAGGACAACTGAGATCCCATGGGATATGGCTGTAGAAGGTAGGGGAGTCCAAGAGCACTGGTATTATTCAAGCATCACTTCCTCCAAGCTTAAGATTGGTGCATCCCTATGAGTAAGAAATCAAGCTAACACGGTGGGAGACCTGCATGGATGAGTTTTGCTTCTGGCAAAGCTCAAAGAGAAGAAGGAAGTGTACAGAATGTGGAAAGAGGGATAGACCACTTGGGAGGAATATAGGAACATTGTCAGCATATGCGGGGATGAGATGAGGAAGGCTAAGGTCCATCTGGAATTAAATCTATCAAGGGATGCCAAGAATAACAAAAAGGTCTTCTTCACGTACGTCAGTAGCAAAAGAAAGACTAGGGAAAACATGGGCCTGCTGCTGAATGAGGTGGGTGCCCTGGTAAGGAAAGATAGAGAAGGTAGAGTTACCTACTGCCTTCTTTGCTTCAGCCTTTACTGCTAAGTAAAGACTGTAGTAATACTGCTTTACTACCTCAGGATCCCAGACCCTAGAGGAAAGAGAGAAAGTCTGGAGAAAGGAAGACATTCCTTTGGTTGAGGAGGATTGGGTTAGAGATCATTTAGGCAAACTTGACACCCACAAATACATGGGCCCCAATGCAATGCACACATGAGTGCTGAGGAACCTGATGTTTTTGCTACGCCATTCTCCATCATCTTTGAGAGCTCACAGTGAACAGGGGAGGTACCTGAGGACTGGAGGAAAGTCAATGTCACTTCAGTCTTCAAAAAGGGTGAGGGAGGACCCAGGAAACTACAGACCAGTTAGCCTTACCTCCATCCCTGAAAAGGTGATGGAACAGCTCATCCTGGATGCCATCCCTAAGCACGTGGAAAAAAAGAAGGTTTTTAGGAGTAGTCAACGTAGATTCACCAAGGGGAAATCATACTTTAGCAGTCTGATAGCCTTCTGTGATGGAATGACAGGCTGGATAGATGAGGGGAGAGCAGTGGATGTTGTCTACCTTGACTTAAGCAAGGCTTTTGATACTGTCTCCCATAACATCCTCATAGGCAAGTTCAGGAAGTGTGGGTTAGATAAGTGGACAATGAGGTGGATTGAGAATTGAATGAATGGCAGAGCTCAGAGGGTTGTGGCCAGCAAGGTTACTGATGATGCAAAACTAGGAGGAGTGGCTGATACACCAGAAGGCTGTGCTGCCATTTAGTGAGACATGGACAGGCTAGAAAGTTGAATGGAGAGGAACCTAATAAAGTTCAGCAAAGGCAAGTGTAGGGTCCTGCACCTGGGGAGGAATAACCCCACACACCAGTAGAGGTTACGGGCTGACCTGATGGAAAACAACTCTGTGGAGAAGGACCTGGGAGTCCTGATAGACAATTTAACTATTAGCCAGCAACATGCCCCTGTGGCCAACAAGGCTGATGGTATCCTGGGGTACATTAGGATGAGTGTGACCAGCAGGTCAAGGGAGATGATCCTCCCCTTCTATTCTACCCTGGTGAGGCTGCATCTGGAGTACCTTGTCCAGTTCTGGACTTCCCAGTTCAAGAAAGACAAGGAACTACCGGAGAGGGTCCAGCAGAGGGCTATGAAGATGCTTACAGGACTGGAGCATACCTCCTATGACAAAAGACTGATCGAGCTGGGCTTGTTTAGCCCGGAGAAGAGATGACTGAGAGAGGATCTTATCAGTGCATACAAATATCTTAAGGGCATGTGTCAAGAGAATGGGATCAGATTCTTTTCAGTGGTGCCCAGCAACAGGATAAGGGGCAATGGGCACAAACTGAAACACAGAAAGTTCCATCTTAACATGAAGAAAAACTTTCACTGTGAGGGTGACAGAGCACTGGAACAGGCTGCCCAGAGAGTTTGTGGAGTCTCCTCTGGAGATCTTAAAAACCTGCCTGGATCCAATCCTGGGCAACCTGCTGTAGGTGAACCTGCTTTGGCAGGGGATTGGGCTGGGCAATCTCCAGAAGTCCCTTCCAACCCCAACTTTTCTGTGATTTTCAGGTAGATCTCTGGAGACAGGTACCACATCGTTATGTCTCTAAAGTACTTTAAAAATATGCTTTTAGGTGTACAGAAAATGCCAGCCAAAGTAAATAGCATCACTGTATCTTTATTGAATGCACCATCATCAAAATCCTGTTCTTCAGAAAGTAGCATGGATATAAACCTTAATTCATCAACAAAATAGTTTTTCTCAGCCCAAGTACTACAAGATGAGTTTCACTAAGAGATTCTGTTGGTGAGATATGCTGAAAAACTTGTCCCAGTCCAGATCCAGACATATCCTTTGTTGCTGGGGTCAAGTTACTGGTGAAGGAAGTTCTTCTCTTTTTTCTATTGAGGAGGTTAGTCTGAAATGGGAATTCAGATTAGGAATCATGGCATTCTTCTCCAATGCATTCTTTCAGTGGAAAACTACCCTTTCTGCGTATGAAAAAAATAAAAAGGCAGCTGGTTTTCTAACAACTCAACCTTCCACTGATTGGATTTTCAACAGCCTGCCAGTTTTTAAATGGAAATGAAGTTGCATTGTGTGCCCTTGTATCCACAAAGACCAGTTCCCCTTTGGAAGTGCTCTCAGGTTGTCACACCACATGTGATTAGGACACCATTGACTCCTGCCTCATGGGTTCCAGCTGCTGGGATCACACTAGACCTTACCCACTCTTGCTGTGCTGACTGTCGGTCATTACCAAGTT